GCTGAACGGAAACTAGCTTGATGGCATATTTTCCTAGTGCTTCAGCACAAGGACTTGTGATTAGGAAACCAGCACAAGTCACTATATTGGGTAAGGTCTCAAGCACAAATCTGAATCTACTAGGACTAGGGATTTATTAGGACTTTTAATTGAATGTGCTAATTTGCAGCAATTAATAATAATAATAATAAAAACAGATAAAATGAACTCATCAAACTCAAACAATTAATGCCCCATGACCTGTACATCAATTCAAAAGGAATGTTCCTATAGAATGGTAGCAATTTAATCTTGAAAACCCCAAATGCAAAAATGCAAAGCATATTTTTACAAATTTTAGTCAACACATGCTACAGGTAACGTACTTTGCTAGACCACAATTACAGAAAGCTGGTAACACAAAAAAAGGGCACATTCCTACAAGATGCAATCTTGTAAGCAAGACACTGATAAGAATGAAGGGTATCAAAAGTTTGTTAACTTTTAAAGTTGACTTAAAAATGTAGCAGAGATATCATGCAATGACCAATAGCATCAGGTGCATGTGTACGTACACCATCGGGAGGATGTGCAAAGTGATTGATAGAAATTGATATAGGGGCCTGCAGGGGCCATTTGCACAGAACACGTTTTTGCATGACACAGGTGCAGGGCAGTGTAATAATAAAAAAAAAAAGAGCAAGGTCTAGAGATGTTTTTTTTTTAAAGTTGATTTTAACCTGAGCACTGCATTTTTAGAATGCTGTGTCATGCACGAGATGCTGCAAAAGATGCAAGTGCGATGGTCAGACACATTCATCTAATGCAAGTTAACACAGGAAAAGCAATTTAAAAGCAGCACAGTGGAATGCAAAACACATTCAATGTGAATGGCCCTTTACAGTGCATTAAAGGCTACATTTTATCACCTTGGCTGTCCCGTGGGAATCAAACTTAAGAACCTGGGATTGCTAATACTCCACCTCTAAAGCATAAAGCATTTACATTTTAGTGTAAAAAACCCTGTTCTTATATTGTCAATTGATTGTACGGTGTTCACTTGGAATGTTGCCCCTGCAGTCTTCTGATTTTGTGTGCACTCAACTCAATGTTTTTATCAATCAAGAGGCGCTACTTTGAGAGTACAGATTCATGCACAGACGTGCGAGTTCACTTTTTTAGGGAAATAGTATGTCTGTATGACAACTGGGTTTTCCCCCCCAATTGGTTTTCCATGCAGTGCTGATTCTGCTAATGCAATGCATTCTAAGGGGCAATGTTTTGCACTTAAGGGGAAAAATCTGAGCTGTTTTCCAGCTGGATACCTTACGTGGGAAAAAGTGATGGGGGCGGCAAAGGAAAGTGTTTTTTGATTGGTAAGTTTAAGACTAGATGCTTCGAGGTGACATGGATTCATATGCTGGAGACTGCACAGAAAGTCTTTGGATTCTGGCAAGTTTAGGAGGAAGGCTTTGTGAACTGTCAGTCATTTCTTGATGCGCCTTACAAAGGTAGTTTCACTGCCTCCTCAAAATGAATGCACCTCAGTTTCTCTGGACACAGACATTGTTTAAACCTTTACAGTACACAATATGAATGGACATATTATGAGCAGTCAAACATGGTTTTACGAAAACCGTACTGTAGAGTTTGTGTACAGGGTTTCACTCTGTGAGAGACCCCAGTGCCCACGCCTCACCCTCGCTTTCCCAGTCAACCGATTTAACAACCTCACCCTTCTGGAATGTGACACTTTGCTCGGTGGAACGCAAGACCGCCACAAACATCACTGTTAGCCTGAGGGAGATACAAAGACTTAGCACAACCTTTGCGTTACTGCAGCAGTAACAGGGTTTATTTGCAAGCAATAATTAAAAAGTGTCCTACATTTCTGACGTGGTTTGTGAAGGATTATGTGTGTTTGTGTTCCGAACCAAATGTGTCTATAATAATACAGAGAGTTAGCCGTTAACATTCCCATTCACCTCAATTGCTAAGCTTGAACTAACGGAAGTAAATGCCAGGTAACTAATCTCTCTGGAAAGATATATGCAGCCAGATGGTCTACTTACGACATTGACTAGCAGGGACTAACTGGTCAATGGTAACCAGCCAAAAAAAAGACCAGAGGAGTCATAATTTTTGCTATTCTGTTCAGTACCACAAGCAAAATGCCTAACAAGAAGTATATTCAATATGACCGTTATGAAAGAGCTATGAGGGGATGCTATCCTAAATGTCCACATGTACAATTGATTACTTGAAATGTCAATCAAAATGCTTATCACTAGAGCAAAGCTGACAAAGTTTAACCAAAAGGTTTTGAGGTGTGCTGTGGATTTGCAGGTTGCTCTTGAATGCTTGCTCTAGGTTCTATTTGTAGACACCTATGCATGTGTGGGTGAGAGCGATAAAAAAAAAGGATGTGGTGTAGGGTCTACATCGAGAAACAGCCCTAAACGACTGACCTAAGACCAGCTGCATTTCTCAGAACTCCAGCCTTAGTCAGTTCCAGTAACTGCAGAACTGGTCGTGGATCTGCGCTGGTCCGTATGCCTGTGTAGGCGGGAGTGTCAGGCCTCTGCGCCCACTCCCAGCTTGCATGCAGTATCTCGCAGCCACCTGAGAGTCTGAAGCTGTGCAGACTGCAAGCGAAACAAGGTCAGAGCTTCAAGCAGCACTTTCTTACAACTGTCCCATCTTCCTACAGACATCTGAAGCATGACTGTTACACCTAAGCAAGAGAGGTGTCCCATTCTTTTCTGGGAACACCATTCCTGCAGAGTTCAGCTCAAGAGTGTCAAACCCTGCTCTTGGGAAGCCACCTTTCAGATATGTTTAGCTTCAGCCCCAATTAAACACACCTGAACCAGCTAATCAAGGTCTTAAGGAAACTTTCAGACAGGTGTATTGAAGCTAAATTTGACCTCTGGGAGCAGGATTGGATAGCACTGGTTTGGTTAGACATTTACACACACCTGAACCATCTAACCAAAGTCTTTGGGCAGCTGCATTGAAGCAGATTGAAACTAAACTGCATGAAGGTGGCAGAACTGGACACACCTTTTCACACCTGGCTCGTTGTTTCGGAACCTGGTGCGTTTCCCCCCTTAGCTCGGTTCGTTTGGGCATATGTGAACACGGCAATCGTGCTCGGATCCACGCCAAAACAATCGGTCCAAGATCGCCTGAACGAGGTGGTCTCAGCTCGATTGAAAACGAATTTTGCTAATACCTCAAAATGAACCTGTGAATGTCTGTGGGAGAGCACGTCTTCGCCATTCAACATAAAAAGGCGCATTTTTCATTTTATAATGCCGCCTTATTGCTCTTCTTCCTAGTAGGTGCATTTTAAAAATGTTTTCCCAATGAATCCTGGACTCCTGCTCAAAATGATAAATTAATATAAGGACAGCTACAAAAAAAAGCTGTTGTCGTTCCATTCTGACGGATGACAGCCGTGACAGCTATGAGTGGAATCCCGGAAAATAAACGGTGGAACTTTGACCAATGAGAGAACAGTTTACCTGCGCGTGACTTGAATTAACAAATTTGGTCCGTTTAGAAACTTTGCCGTGTGAAAGCGAACCGCACCAAGAATAAAAAGCAACATTGTAATAATTTTAATCCCTGTTTCGGAACAAAGCAATCGATCTACAGGTGTGAAAGCATCCTAATGTCCTAGCCACTTTATTTGCAATGCAGAAGTAAGCTATTTTCTTGCATGAGGGTTCTGATTCATTAGTCATTGTAAGTACTATAGCTATAGGTAAATAACCAGAAGAATAACAAAGTGCAATAAATAGTACAACTATTTGCTTTGCAAACCAGTGTTTGTGATAATTGTAATAAATTGAAATATTATAACAATGGACATTGCTAGATCATTTTGTACCAATCTGGGATACTGTTTCTTCAAAACCCTTGATGCAGGACATCTTGTTCCTAAAGTTGCATATCTGCATACAGAGGTTTATAAAATTATGAAGAGTTTTTGCTAGGGCAGGACTTCTGACCAAAAAACTGTCCTTTCTTAAGACTGCAGAACGGTAATTAGGACTAGAGTAAGTTTAAGAATAGAGGCTATACTCACACTCGAGCTGTAGGAACAAAATATGGCAACAAGGGAAACATTGTGTGACAAATAGAACCTTATGGTTCTTATTTCAGTCTTTGCAACACAGATTTTTGACAACCAAAATGTGAAAAAAGTACAAATTTGCCATAAATCTTCATTGTTAGCTATGGTTTGCATGCTATTTAGTCAACTTTTTAAAAACATTTCATCACAAATATTCAGTAGACATAAGTTATATGCCTATATGCAAGTTATGCAGTGCAAGTAACAATTTAGACAAACTAGTGAGCTTATCACCCAAAAAACAACTTCTCGTAGCAAAGAATGACTCCTTTCTTGTTCACTGCCAATTCTGTGCATGTGCTACTGGATCAAGCTGCAGCATGTTGCCACGATAGACGTCTGACGTTCATAAAGACGCATGTGGTTTAGTCTTGTAAAACTCCAGTCAGCACATGCTTATAGCTCTGGAGCGGCCATGTAAAATTACCCTGTACTTAAGCAAATTCTAGACTTTTACACCACAATGTCCACTGTCTGTAGGATGTTTTTTCTGGCTGCATAGACTAGCTGTATTTCTAACTCTGTAGCTGTAGTGCCTTAAGCCAATTGTTTATCAGTTTTTAGGGATCTAGATAATGCATATGAATACAACTTTAGACTGACAATTAGCATAATGGCTACAAGGCTTGAAAATGCGGGAAAAAAATAATGGAGTAAAAATAGTACATTTTGTACAAAAATAGTGTCATTGACTGAATAATAAAGATGAATTGATTCGCTCCAGTTTCCTTGGCAAACGGCTTGGAGGTTTGAACAGTACCATACTGCCCCCTTTCTGTCATGAACAGTACTGCATTCATCATCAAACAAATTCATAGCCAGCAAATACAGCTTAAATTAATTTTGTGAAAGGCAAAGAACATTAAAGTGACACAGTGTGTTATTTCAAATAAATTTATTGTTAATTTCATCCACTGTACAAAGCAAGCAGTTAAGTCTTGCGGTTTCTGACTTCACTGGGGTGGGGAACAGACAAAGCCGGAGACCTTTTCAAACAGACAGAATATTCTACTGAGAAACAAAATGAGAAATGTGACATAAATAACATTAATTATACTGTATAATGTGTGTGGGTCCTGCATACGTCTAAAATGTGTACATACCAACCCAAATCGTTTACTCCAATGCTTTGACGATTGCCTCGTTTGCCTCTATGCTGATCAGAACCCCGGCCCGGGCTGCTTCATCTGAAATGCCCCCCAGTTCTGACTGGGCTTTCTCGAGGTTCGCTTTCGCCGCCTGCGCAAAAGACATGGCACTCCTGACATTTGGTTCACACATTCACTGTAATCTTGACACTGATGTGTCGGGCGACAACTCAATCTATAACAGCTGACATTATAAAAGGTGCCAGTGTAGTACAGATCTGAGAACTTCAATATCTTGAAGCACCTTATAAGTGAGAAAACTCATCTTTGCCTTAAAAATCAATGCTACTGCTACTTGAGCCACATTCTAGACTAGCGCGGCCATTTTCTCAACAGTGTGAGCAAATAAACGTGGCCTCTTTCCTGTGAAGGACATTTGTCACAGTGGAGATTACACAGTGTAAAGGCCAAACATTGCTGGGAGTTAAAGGTCTCTCAGTGGGGATCTGACACATCTGCACCACTTCAACAGTGACTGACCTTTCCTTCCTTATTAACCAGCGAGGCCCCCAAGCACAACTATCTCTAGGAAGAATAAAAAGCGGCCTATTTATGTGGAATGAACCCGAAAGTGCTCTTTATTCCATGTCGGAAAAAGGGCATGTCCGAGAACATCCCCTTTGGAATGAGCTCATTTTCGGTGTGTCATTCAGAATGTTTGACTCCTTCTGAGAAAGCGGTGACTAACAGAAAATGAAGACCGTTGTATTTCTATTTAATGATGTAGTGTGGAGGATAAATAGCATGAATACAATCAAAGGGTGGCTTGATATAGTTTCAAATGCTAGATTTAAATGATAATCCTATAAACGGGTGACTACAAAGGCAAGTAGACAGATAATAGGGCGTTTTCGAAACAGTTCTTTCAAATACGGCACAGCTATACAGATTTAAACTCATTAAACAATCCTCTATTATATTCTAAACAGTCTTTGTTTTCTAGTATTATGAAAACTCAAAACACCTGTCCTTTTAATTCTTGAAATGGCACTCGTAACCCATTTTTGTTCCATAATGTGATGCATTTCTAACTAAAAAAAAATACATCGGGAATGTATTGGAGTGTGAAAAGTGGAGAACAGAGCCATGCTTGAATGAGTTTTCCAATTATTTGAGATAACAGCATAGCAGGGACTCACTGCGAGGTCCAGGCTGTCCAGAGGAACGGCCTCCTCCGCCAGCAGCTGCACTGAAGAGTCGGCATTGACGGTGACTGATCCGCTGCTCACTGCAAAGCACAAACCACATTTAATCTCAAGCACGGATGAGAGTTCAAGAGTTATGTCGCTGATGCTTGAAAAGGCTCTCCTTTGTAGGACAAGCCTGACCCCTTCTGGATGAATTTCTAAAACTAAAGGTTGTCTACTAAAGGAAACGCAAATGTGTCTTTATGGTGGATCACATTTTAATCTGCTTATTTCACCACAGAAAATCATATTACAAATCTGAATCACTCCCTTTTGAAGTGTGCTAATGAGGACTAAAATACCCACAAGTCACAGTCACATCCAACACCTATTTTATTTAAGTGTTTCTATAATTAACATGTATTATAATTTATAAATTATATCAAATGTCTTCTCATCTTTTTAACAGCACTCCTTCCAAATTAAATCATATTAACTAATCAGGTCAGGTATTACCAATCAGACTAGATTTCAATTAAATAAGGGTCAAATTAGTGTTCTGAAAATTACCAAAACTAAAATGACTTTTAATATATAAAAAGCGAAATATCTGACTTTTAGCTCATTTTAGTTTAAGTTTGGTAGTTTGATGCCATGTGAGAGTTTCAGAACAGGGTCAAATCAAAAATAAGTATGTTAATAAACATTTAAACGGGAAATAATATGGCACTTGCAACACCAAAGTCATGGGTTTCAATTACCAGGGAATGCATGAAATATTAAAATGCAATACAAGCCGCTTTTGATAAAAGTGTCTGGCAAATGCATAAATGTCTATGTAAATGTAAAATGAGATAAGGGATAAACAAAAAAAGAATTTATATACAGAAAGATAAAATTTATATAAAGTGATATCTACCCTTTGCTCTATGGTTGCTAAAAACAAGAAAGACTAGTGGAAAAAAATGTTCACTTCAAGAAATAAATTAATAACCACCATACTGCTGAAATGATCCTCATGGAAAGTCATTGGTTGGTTGGTTGCTTGGTGTTTTAATGTCATGCCAGCTTCCTTGACTATTTTCATTGCAAGTAAGTTGAAATACTAAAATACCATTTTAAAAACCTGTTTCTATGTTTTTGGAAAGTCACGGTCACCACCACTGTAAATTATTTTGCTTTGACTCAAATACTGCAATTTATCTCAGATCTGGTTGGTTTGGAATTTTACAAAAACAGCACTAGAGAACTCACCGAAATACTTAGTAGAGGAACCATCATCATTGAAGACGGTGACTACGCCGGGCCGGAGCACCTGCAGTGTGGGGACGTGGGCTGGGAGGATACCAAAGGCGCCTGTCAGTGTTGGGACATCAATCTGTTTTACATTGGCTTCCTTGAAGAACACCTGCAAAAGGCATAACAAGCTTCACTGCACCAGATGAACACAGTTTGATGTTTAATATGAACGCTGGCAACCAAACTATTAAGTGTTTGAACTCCACAAAGGAACAACAAATCTCAATGCATTAACTAGGCCTGGGCGATAAAACGGTATCGATATTTATCCACGGTACACCTTCTTCGATATTGATATAAAAAATGTTCGATATAGCGCACGATATAGGCACGTGCTATGAGTGACGCAGACAGCACACACAAACACATGCTGAATTGAGTGCTGTGCCTGCCTGTGATGAGGAGATTGAAATGATATGAAACATTATATCGTTGATACATTTTTTAGCTATATCGCCCAGCCCTAGCATTAACTATGACCACTGTGCCCTTGAACAAGACATTTGACCAGGTCACTCTAGGGAAACTTAGAGTGACAGTGCACTTAGATACAATTATGAAAAGCATTAGATTAAAATTACAAATTACTAAATGCAAAGCACCTGATCAATTGGGAACATTTCTAAAAATTAAAAAAAATAAATAAACAGTTCTGCTAATCTCAGGGTTCCCCCACCATCTGAATAACGACAGTAATCACAGACTGTGATCATTTGTGATACTAAATAAGGATGTTAAAAACACAGACAGGCAGTCAATCAGACAGACAGTGCGCGGCTGATAGGACAAGGGCACGGGCAAACTTTCCCGTCAGGCCTTGCGAGGACTGTGGGGCTGATGGGACATGTAGTTTTGATTTATGCGGAGGTTATTATTTATTCACATAATTATACATGTTTTTCAACATTTGTCATGCCATTTTTATATAAATTTGTTTAGCCTCGTATTCCGTAATATTTTTAATGAACAACGCAGCAGCGCCGCATCTAGTGGCTTCAACTGGATAGGCTAACAAAAACATCTTGTGCGCCAGTAAGGCTACCTGAGGCACACCTAAAATTCGAGTGCAACGTTTTTGTATTAGAATGTGGATTTTTATTTTAAATTCAACGAATATTCGAAATTCGATTTTTTTTAACAGCCCTACCCAAAGGGCTTTATCAAGCATCCCCCCCCCCCAAAAAAAACATATACAAATACATTTAGGAGAACATTAAAGAGTATTGACAGAACAACAAACAAACTTCAAGATAAATAAACAACAAGTTAAATACGGTAAATCAATTAAAAGTTTAATAAAATAAAACGATAATGATTTCCAAAAATAGTAGGCCTAATAAAAAAATTGGGGGAAATTGAGGATATGTTGATGTCTATCAATTTTTCGCACAATACTCAGTTAGTGACGTCATTTCCATTACAACAAAGTTTTTCAAATAAACAATTAGTGCACTTGTCATTGAAGAGTATGTTTACAGTCACATATGAGAGTGAGAAGAAAACAGAAAATTCAAGGTAAGTATCACTTGCGAGCAAAATGTTTTATTGTGCATGTTCGCTGGTGGACATTGTTTATAGATGGTGATCAAAACAATGGTTTGATTCCGTTTTTGATCTCTGATTATTATTATATTTTTAACTGTATAATGTTGCTCATATGCCATTAAATAGCTTAAGATCCATTGGGATAATTGTCACAAAACATCTGTGAACTGTATATTTGTTTCTGGTCAACATCGAAATATTCATATATATGTCGTTTTTTTATTTTAGTCTTACTTTAGTCTGTTTAATAGCCTAACATAAACTTATTGAATAAATTACTGACTGAAGTAAAAATGATGATTGGCCTAAGGGTGCAATAGATGATACGACCACGAGGGGGCGCTCAGTAAATATCAATTTAACATTCATCGCACGAATTGAATTGATCCTCATACTCAGTTAGTTCAAAGTGAGCATGTGTGGAACTGAATAATAATTCACCTCAGTGTTATTGCGTTCATCTATTCAGTATAATGATCTATATGTTTACCCAAAACTGCAGTGAGCCCAGGCCGCATGGGGATGCCCGTTACTGAGCATTTTTCACTGACTCAAATGGGGATGACCTCATTTCCATAACATCAGGAGAGGACTAGGGCGTGATAGACACTTCTGATAAGTAACGCTGTACCTCACTTTGACGTCACGGTCTGCGCTCCTCACTGGGCGATGGGAGAGTGGGTGTGTTTAACGGGGGACTTCATTCATAAATACAAAAAGATTTAAAAGCCCGAATTAAAGAGAAGATCGGGGAATCGTTTGCGAGCGTTTTGTCTCATGGACCACGTGAATTATAGTTAGGTGAGTTTTGTCGGCTTGCCATTCACGCTGCTATTGTTTCCGTCGCGATCGTCTCGGTGTCTTATTAGAATGGCATCGTGCTTTATTAATGGAAATGATGGTAGTCTAAAAGGCGGAGAGCATCTGTTTGGAAAACAGACATGGATTATCTTTTGTTGTAAACGGCTATCGATTAGAAATAGGCTAATAGCCTGCCCTGAACATAACTGGTTTGGGAATGAGATTTAAATTCATTTATATGGGTTTGTATCGTCTGTCTGTTGATGCTCACATCGCTACTATGGCAAGCTGTTTAAACATTTATTAATGTAGACTATCTGTTTTTATATTACCAATTCTAATTTTATAATTACTTGTGAGTAGTCTAATACTGAGTAATCAATCATTAGTAACTATTCATTTAATCGTAATGGTAATCTCAATACCTAGTAGCCTATCTATTCCAGCTTTACTATTACTCATTTATAGTATTTATGAGACTACTATTTATCACAGTTGTTACTAGAAATATATTTTTTAATCTCACAAGTTGCAATGCATGCAATATTAAATGACCATGCAGAATAGCTACTTTATAGTTATAATTTAAATATTGCCAGTACAATTAAAATGTTAATTTAAACAGTAATACTAGTGTCTAAAAAGATATAGCCTACTAGGAAAACTGAAAAACTGAAGAACTGTAACTTTTTAAACAGTTACCAGTGTTATTTTAGTACCATTGAGATAAAATGACAGCTTTTATTGATATTTTTAATTAGTTTTTATTTTTATATGTTCTGCTTTCATTTTAATTAATTTAACGTTCTTGTCATTGTGTTTTTGTAACTTTTATCATTAAATTTTTTTTAATGTCTATATTTTTTTTATACATTTTTATTTCAGTTTTAGTCATTTTTGTACATTAACTTAAACTACATAAAAATGAAAAAGAAAATGTAGCCTTGGCAACTAGCTAAAAATTAAATTAATGTAAGGATTTTTCTATAATTTATTTTAGTTCAGTTAGAATGTATTTTAATTTTTTTATTTATTTTTTTATGCTTTTGGTTGTAGTTAACTATAATAACACCAGTAGTAAGTAATTAAAATAAATACTGGTCTCTAATTAATGTTTAGTAAAAATGGAATAAATACCAGCAACAATTTTGAGTACTTGTCTGATTAAATGATATATTTGAACAAAATAATTAGTACATTTTTCCAACTGAAATAAAATTAAATTTGTTACCAGTAGCAATGGAGTATTTTCTTATCATTGTTAAAATAGCTAATAGAACTTAATGGGTAGTCAGTAGTGATGATGAAAAAAGATAATTGTTGGTATTGTATTACTTACTAGTGATTAAACACGAATTAAACATGAATATACCAGTTTGTTGTAGGAATTAATGTTGAAATGTAAATAAGGTATTAAAAAAATTCTACAAATAATCTATAAGAAATGCTTATGGAGAGATTTTTGAATGTGATACACCTCCGCAGAGTCTGGCAGGCATGACAAGAGCATATGTTGCATAACGTTCACGGTAGTTCGTTGATTGTGTTAGAGACTGTAAAATATGTTTCTTCAGGTAACCTAAAATGTAGTAACACAAACTAACTAGTTTTATTTAAGTCAAAGCACAACCGAATCAACCTGACCATTTAAACTACACAAACAAAGGTCGTTTTTAACATGCATTTTGTACATTTTCACTTTTTTGCAGTGTATCATAAAGCAAAATATTTATTTGCAAACAGAATTGGTGCAAACCAAATAAATCACAAGTGAATTGAAAGGGACAAAATAATTAAAAAGGAAATCTGGCAATGCCATTAAATCTGAAAGAACAGTCTGGAACATTTCAAATGGGTCTCTGTTGATTTGTTTAATATCTATGTCTAATAACAGTACATTAGACGTCTCTGTGAACACTACAGCAGCATTATGCATCCGAGACACAAAAAACAAGCTTAAATGATCTCAGGAACGCTAAAGACCCTGAGATGGAGAAAGAGAGAGAGAAGCTATGAAAACAGGTAGGTGGGCAGAAGCTGGATGAGTATGCAGCAGGAGCCTAAAGCTTTGCAGTCTGAGCCTTCAAACATGCTGCAATCTCTGCATCTAATGCACACAAACACATGCTGCCTTCAGATAATGGGAGAAAAGGCAGCGTCGCAGCATTAAATAAACAAGGACTGCTTGGGAGATGAGTGCAGGGGTGAGAGAGTGGGGTTTTTTTGCAGTTTATGCAGAAAGCTGTGGTGTTGATGGTTTTAAGTGGAGCATATGCTGCCGGGCCTCAGCCACTGGATAAAAGAGGACGTGAAAAGGGATTTTTGGGAGGGAAAGGGTGACATTTTGTCACAGGATTGCATAAGTGTGTGTGTGTTTGTATGTACAAGAGTTGCAATCAAACATATCTGGGAACTATATTTTGGCTTAAAAGCTGAGTATTTCACAATCATTCAAAGGAAACTTCAGGGATGCATTGGTTTTATTTTCCTTGTGAAGGAGAATTTAAATCCTACTTTAGTGCCAAAACCAGCTTCAAAGCAGCGGCCTGAATTCCTGTAATGTCTTCCTCAGGGGGGACACTCTCTCTGGCTTGGACCATGAGCAATGAGTCTGCCATATGGACAAACCAGAACAGAACTTACCCCACCGTAAGTACTTGTGCTTCTCCTTCCTGCTGGTTACTTTCATTACACCCATTCTCTCTCTTTGCAGTGCTATCTCCAGACATGCAAATTGAAAATATCCTGTTCTGTGTCCCTTGTAATTGGATCCACCGCAAGATCTAAGCAAATTAGCCCTTGCGAGAGAACGTCGAGTCAGACCGAATCCATCGAGCCGTCAGACGATGTGATAGAGCATCACAACCCAGAGTTACTGTCAGGAACTTCAATTACCGGCATAAACAGCATCATTAGATTAGATTACAATAGAGACATTCATTTAGGAATAGCAACTAATTCCAGGATGTTCTGGGATTTTGGACCTTATAAATATACAGTTTACCCCAAAAATTATTATTTACTCACCTTCATGTTGTTCTAAACCTGTATGACAGACTGGGTTCAAAAAAAGGAGAAATTTTGAAGAACGTCCTAGCTGCTCTTTTACATAGCTTCAAAAAAGTTGAAGAAGCACCATAAAATTATTATAAATGTGGTCAATATGATTCATGCTCTATATTTTGTGTCCTCTGAACCCATATTGTAGCTTTGTGTGAGGAACAAAAAGAAGTAGTGATGTCTAGCTTGTAAATGAATCATTGCTTTGAGCAAGATCTTTTCAATGGACTCAGTTGACTAAATTATTATTAAAAACGTCTCCATTTTTGTTCCATGGAAGAAAGTCGTGCAGGTTTGGAACAACTTGAGGGTCAGTAAATGATCACAGAATTAGTGATGCACCAAATAATTTTTTAGAGAAATTAAAATTGCAAAAAAAAAGTGAAATGTCATTTAGCCAAAAACCTGAACCGAAAATAACCTCTTTCGATATTTCATCCGAAACAAATTTTACATTCTACTCTAGGAAAATTTTTGGACCTATTTTTATTTTTTTTTACAGACAAACACACAATGATATATTACTATATATAGTAGTATATTATATATATA